CCATCCATCCATCCACCCATTCTGTCCATCCACCCACACATCCATCCATCCACCCATCCATACATCCACCCATCCATCCACCCATTCCATCCATCCACCCACCCATCCATCCACCCATCCATCCATCCATCCATTCTGTCCATCCACCCACCCATCCATCCACCCATCCATCCACCCACCCATCCATCCAGCCATCGATGGATTCATTGATATAGTACTCAACAGAGTCCCTGGAATGCCTGAAATGCCCAATCTTTGATGACTCCGTCTCTCACTTGTTTCTACCACAGCCAAACTCCACACACATTGCAGCTTCCCCACGCCTTCTCTATCCTGTCTCCAAGCCAGTGCTCATGCTGTTGCTCTGCTGAAAGTCCCCCTTCCATCTGTGCCTGGGGGCCGAATCCTGCCCAGCCACCACGGCCTCCCTGATGCAATTTCCCCGGGGCATTCAGAGCTGGCAGCACAGTTGCCTGTTGTTCTGGGCACCATGGAGTTTCCCCTCTGGCAGCCTCACCCTTTTCTCCTTGGATTGGCCTCCTCTCTCGCCCCATGCCTTGGCCCCCCTCCTGGACTGTGGGCTGCCACTTAGTGAATGCTCAGCAACATGAGGAGTGAAGGAAACACGCTCCTCTTGTAACCCCCACATGTCTTTCCTCATGCCCCCATTTTTTGAGGGCTTGTCTTCCCAGGAAGGGCCTTACCTTTGCAGACGGGCGGTCCCCTTTCCAGGCTGTGACAGCCGTGGGCACTGGCAGGAAGAGCTCTATGACAGTGAAGCAGAGCAATGCCAGCTCTAGCCTCTGGATGTGGACCTGAGAGGGGAGAGGGAGGGAAGGCAGGATGAGGCCTCGCTGGGTGTCTGCACCTGGTATGTGGGCTTAGCCAGCTAGGGATCAGATCCACATCGGAGGGCAGTGGGGGCTTCTGCTCCCAGGTGTGCGTGGAGAGGGCAGGGTGGATCTCTGTGTGATGGGGACTGGGCCTTTCTTGGTCACTGCTCTACATGCATCACCTGGCACATATACACGTTTGGTGAGTGTTGGCCCAACGTTTGAGGGCTGGAGAATCTCACGGGTCCCTGGGAAGACTGAAGGTAGCCTTAGGGTCATCTGATCCAAGCCTACTTGACAGATGGGGATACCTAGTCCCAGAGTGAGGGAGTATGTTTTACAGTAGGTGGGGGAAGAGCTATGAGATGGTGGCTGTGCAGCTGGGAGACATCTTATAGTACCACATGCATTTGGTGGGGAACCATATGTATGTGTGAGCACATGTGTGTGGTGTGCTTGTGTATGTGTGTGTGTGTATGAGCTGGGAGGAGACAAGGAATAGCAAACCACTATGGTCAGAACACTTGCAGGCGCGGTGGCTCACACCTGTAATCCTAGCACTTTGGAAGGCCAAGGTGGGCAGATCACAAGGTCAGGAGTTTGAGACCAGCCTGGCCAACATGGTGAAACCCTGTCTCTACTAGAAATACAAAAATTAGGGTGTGATGGCAGGTGCCTGTAATCCCAGCTACTTGGGGGGCTTAGGCAGGAGAATTGCTTGAATCTGGGAGGTGGAGGTTACAGTGAGCCCCGATCATGCCACTACACTCCAGCCTGGGTGACAAGAATGAGACTCTATCTCAAAAAAAAAAAAAAAAAAAAAGAATTCTTGGAGGCTGGCCCAGAGGCACCCAGCCTGGAGTGGCTGGCCTGTCTTCTGCTTCAGAGGCAGCGGTGGTGTGGTGACAAGAGCACCAGGCTTGGAGTCAAGGACCCACTGATGTAGCCTGCCTGGACCTCAGTGTTCACTCCCAGAAGATGAGGATAGCAAGGTGGACTTGGCCAGCTTTGCGAGGCTCCCAGATCACACTCCTGTGTGATCACACCCCAGGGACTCATGCTTCGAGCCCTGGCTGGGAAATCTGCAGTTGTAGGCTGTGGTCCTGGATTTGCAGCCGCGTTGCTGCTTGACCGCAGGCAGGCTCCTCCCCGTCTCTGGCCCCATTTCCCCATCTTTAAAAGTGGACTTGGACTCCATGATGCTGACCAGTGGCAGCCTGGCACGCCCCCTTTCCACCACACCTTCGGAGGGATAGGAACAGGTTGGCCAAAGGCTGAGCAGCCACACCTGGGCTCCAGGAGAGGTTTTTCCGTGAGCTGGAAACCTCCTGTTGGCTAAGCCTGAGGCAGCAGCTTCATTGAAGTCAGAGGTCCCTCTGGGCTTGAGCACTCACTGTGGAGTTGGGGTACGTTCTCCAGATGGGGGACTCAAATGGGCTTTCCAGAAAGAGATCCTTGGCAATGACAAAGAGGCCGGACAGCACACAAAGGAGGCTCATGAGGTTTGTCATCAGGCACAACACCTTCTGCAGGTGAAAAATAAAGGTAACGGCTGTTCAAAGGGTGGAGATCTGGGGCTAGGTCATTCCCCGATGCTTGCAGGAGCTTCCTCTGTAGCCTCAGGAGACACTACCTGTCACTGGACCCAAGGCCCCCACCCTCACACAGGAGCTGAGCCACTGACCGCTGAGGAGGGCCCAGCTGGCCCTCACCTTCTATGGTACAAATTAGGAGAACCCAAGAGCTGCCTTCAGATCCAAGAGCTTTGCAATAAAGATGCCCCACTGCCATCTCCCCCTCAAAGCCAGCTCTGACCATCCCACATCAGATATGCCAAGTGTCAGGGACTTGACACCCAAATGACCCCTCATCCAGCCCTTTCCCCACCAGAAAGGGCAGGAGGAGCTCTGAAAGTGCCCTATCCCCACACATTCCAGTGCCAGCCCCATTTTCTCCGCCCACCTGCCATGGTCACTGAAATGCCTGTGTTCATCGTCCTCTCTGGCTAAGCATCATTGCAAGAGCCCCTTGCCAAGTGCAAATCCACATAGTGAGGAAACTATGCATATGTGGAATCTGCAGCCTGCTTCTTAGGATCGCCTCTACACATAGATGCTTTTAACAAAGTTACCCCGTGCTCGGATGGAAGAGAATGACCTCAGTGCACCCACTCACCAGGTAAGCTTTAGAAAAGGTCTCCATTATTATCGCCAAGATCCCTGAAATGAGAAACTGCAGGCCAGATTTGAATGTCAAAGGAGAGAAGCTGAGGTTCCTTGAAACTCACAAATTCCCACCTCACCCCTATTCTCCAAGAAAACCAACACTTGGCGGCCAGTGGGGCAGAGAATGCTATTCCTCCGGCAAAGTGGGCTCCTCTTGCCTGCCATGTGGCCCATCCCAGGCGCCACCCCACCTCACAGCTTCCCACGTGCACAAACCTCCATGCTTCCTCCCATCTCTACCCTTGGACCAAGCTGTGCCCTGCACTTAGAACTCCCTCCTAGCCCCTCCTGCTTCCCTCATTTTACAAACCCAGACCATCCCTCTGGTATCAGTGGCACTATTTCCTCTACCCTGACCCTTTCTCTTTTCCTGAGCCCTGCAGTTGGGAGGACATGAGCTCTTTTGCCCAAGGTCCCTGGGAATACCTCTGCAATCGTTCTTTCCAATGTTTGCTGAGCACTTACTATGGGCTAGTCCCCGGAAGCACAGGGTGAATAAACACTGCATGGTGGAAAGTTCTATCACTGTGTAATAAAAGCCCGACCCCGTGGGGGGTGGGCACAGAGGACCGATGTGAAAAGGGGATTGGGATACTTGCCCGGGACAGTGCCGTGGAGCTTGGATTTAGTGCATAGGCAGGACTCCACTGGGGAGTCAGGAATGGGGTGGGCTCCCTGAAGGCCAGAAGGGATGCAGACCTTCTGGGAATGGTGCATATACTGGTCCAGTGTCATCTCCCATCCTGGCTGGTGGCCTTGGGAGGACGGGAACCATGCCTTAAGCCCTGGGTGTTTTCATAGCCTAACCCTAGCAGGGCACCTGCTGCTGGATCCAGAGGCAGCCTGGCTGCTCCGAAGGCCAGGGAAGAAGGAAGCTGTCCCTGGGTCATGCTCACCCCCATCTTTGCCAAATGCACACCTGCAATTATGGGAGAGTAGATAGTCTGCGAGTGCTCTCCTGGGACTTAGAATTGACAGGGGCTCCCTGGAAGGAGCTATTTCCAGGGTGGCTACAAGAAGAGAAGGAGAGATGGGAACACTGGAGAGCGGGCCTGGCTTCCGCCACATGCTGTTAGCTCTCTCTACCCCAGCCTGCGTCCCGTCCCAAACGCCAGGGCCTCCCAGGCCTGCCCTGCAGACTCCCATACCCGGTCTGTGTTTTGCCTTCTACTCACAGAGGCAGCCCCCCAGAATGGATACCAAGACTTCAGCACCACCAGGTGAAGGCTCTTGACTGTAGAGGCCAGGTAGCCCCCAAAGGCCACGTGCAGCAGAGCAATGGCGATGTGGAAGGCCTGGGTGGGGAACAGAGAGTGGCTGGGTGAGGGCATCAGTGACTGGCTCTAGAGGAGGCCACAGGTGCCCTGGACCTACGGGCTGCGCTGACTCCCTCCGTCCTCTTAGGGATCCCGGAGGGAGAGCAGGATCTCTAGGAAGAGACTGCTCCCCAGGATTTCCTGCAGGGAGAGCTAAGGCTGCCCCAGGAGTAGGAGCTGTCTATGCTGGAGCGAGCAGCCCTTTCCTGCCATTCTCCCCAGGACGGGGCCCTGAACGACCCTCACAAGGCAGTAGGTGTGGGCAGATTCTCTCCAATGCTCAAAGCCTTTTCCAGTTCAGATGAATGTTAAGCAAGAAAGCTGCAGTCTTTCTCATTTCCCTTTCTCCACTTAGGGCCCCCAGCATCCTCCTGATATCTCGCTTTCCTCTTCCTCCCATTGCCGGGACCCTGGGAAGTGGATGCTCACCCCCAGCTCCTTGAGAAGGCTGGTCCTCTGCTGGGATTCCTTGTGCTGGATCCTGTGCTGGGTCATGTTCTGGGATAGATTTGCCTGCCAGGGCTGGGCTGAGCTGAGGACTTGCCAGGACGAGAGGCCCCCAGCACTGGAGCTGGTGGCAACCGTGGCTTCTGCCTTCATCGATGCTGGTTGGGGGCCCTGGATGACGGATGGGGAGAAAGGCCATCAGAACCTGTCTCATTTCTGAGGCTTGTGCCTGGGTGAGCCTCTGCCGGTCACCTGTGCTCACAGGACTGGATCTTTCCAGAACCATGGCTGCCCTGACCAGCAGCCTTGATTTGACCTGGAATAATCTGGCCCCTGGGAATGGGGAGTAATTGCTGTCACAGCCTTTCTGGGATTACAAAGACACAGCTCCTTTTGGGGCAGAAAAATGTGGACCAGACACAGTTCACAACCAGTGCAAGACAGAGCTCACCCAACGGGCCAGAGTGCAGTTTGGCAGAGTTGGGAGGTGCAGGAGGCCTGGGGCGGTGGAGGGGCCTTGTCAACAGTCTCCATCCACTGGTCCAAGATGAGTGACTGAAGCCAGGTGGGAAATAATTGTCCTACCTCCTGTGGTGGTGCCCATGCTTCCTGGAGAGAAGGGAAGAAAACGTCTTCCAACGAGGACTTCTTATGAGCCACCACTGAGTCAGGAGTCTGCGTTTAACAACGCGGACATTTACAAATACTTTCTCCGCTCCAGGCACTGAGATAAATATGCTACATGCATTACCTGTTTTGTCCTCATTCCAACTCTATGAGGTAAATACTCTCCTCACTCTCATTTTGCAGATGAGGCTCAGAAAGGTTAAGCCACCTGCCCATGGTCACACAGCCAATAGGTGACTTGGACTTGAAGGATGGCAGGCTGGCTCCAGAGCCTGGGGCTTAAATCCTTCATGCGCTGTTGGCTCAACAAATGGAAATGAATGTTCTGGATGTTCTCACGGGCACAAAAAGGATTTGGGAAAAAATTTAGAAGGGAGCTGAACAGACAACCTGCAGACAGGGTCAGTATCATAGTGTATACGGATGCCGCGGAGGCACCAGGGCTTGGGGGCTGCCTGCGGACTTGGTGAGGAAATCCAGTGGAGCCTTTCTGTCCCAGAAGGTGGAGATCTGGGCGGGGAAGAAACGGGCTGGCTTGTGGGGATTGAGGTCAGAGATGGTTTCGCCATGGGGCTGGGGCTAGTGAGCAAATCCTTGAGAGAGCGCAGGCTGCTCTCAGGCTGTCCTGGAAGGATGAAAAGGGAGGGGCATTCCTCTCACTTTTAAGTCTGACTTGTGGACCCAGGCAGTTCTGTCTGAGCATCCACATTTTCCACAGGGGTGCAGGGAGTTCTTTCCACACAAGGAAAAAAACCTTGGGATGTTTGGAGGGTCAAATAGTCCGGGTGACTATGTCCTGGGCTGGGGGGGAAAAGAAGGGACATTATCAAGAGCCAAAGAGCAGGATGGGGCTTCATGGTTGGGTGAGGACTGTGTGTCAGGCACTGTGCCAGGAGGCAGTTTTGCCTGGCAACCTCCCTTAATCCTCAGGAAGTCAGCACCATGGCGTAGAAGAGGAAACCAAGGTTCAGAGAGGTTGCCTGCCTTGGCCAAGGTCACACAGTGAGGAAGTGCCTGGAATTGGAACCATGCTGGTCTTACTCCATTGCCAGTGCTCTGGGCCTGGGCTGCTGGGTAGGACCTCCTGATCAGTATCTCCATTGGCCTGCAGTGACAACCCCTGATTAAGTGGGGACAGTGGGCAGAGGGTCTCCCTCTTTCCTGAGCTCATAGACACTGTAATGCACGACTCTTCTGTGACTCTGCCCGGCTATGCTTGGGAATTCTCCCTCCCTCAGTCCCCAAGTCTTCAGGAGTCCTTCTGACACAGCTAGCTGGACTGAGGGGTGTATTTGGAGGCCTGAACCAGATTAGCCACTGGCTTCAATGAGGCTCTGCACACCTGTGAGGACAATACCTGGACCCAGGCCTGAACTCCACTGCAAAGAACTGAAGAGGGACTTCTTAGTAGAGCTGTCTCAGATGGAGCCGGTTGTCCACAGGGATAGCGAGTGCCTGGGCTCTGAAGCTGTATCTCCACCTACACATTCACTTATGAGAGCTGTGGCAGCAGGAATGGCTCAAATACCCAACAGGGAGTTGGATTCCAGAATCCAGAGAAACCCTTCTCAATGTACGTTCCATGAAACAGTGGTCCTGATGGATCCGCAGTAAAAGGGTTCCGCGGTCAAAGAAGCTGGGGAAACCATGGATATCCTCTTCTTCCTTTTTCTCATATTAAAGGCTCTGAGATTTTCTACAAGTGGTGTGCTCTGGTTTCGTATTAAGGGCATTTCTCAAACTTAATTGGCCATAGAGTCTTTTTTTCTCTGCAATTGGTATTCTATGGGGTCTGCTTTTGGGCAAAGCGACCTGGAAGGTTTCAGTGTCTGGTTCTGGGCTCTGGTTTTTGGCCTTTTCTCTGTGGCATGAGCTTTTGGTTTGCTCATGTCACAGTGGGAACGGAAATTGGATGACGCTCTCCAGGGTCCCTTCCAACTTTAAATATAAAACTACTCTCACGGGATAGAGAGCTGCTGCAAGGAATTTTATACAACCAGGAGAGGAAGGGGTTGCAGAGGGCAGACCTCAGAGTTAGACTCCATGGGGAAAAGTCTGTTATGAAGTCTTGTCCGCCTTTCCGGCGCAAAGAGCATGAACTCTGATTCCTTAGAATCTTATTCCCTGCTGTCCTGGTCCACCTCCAGGACCTGTGCAGGGCTGCTAGGACGTGATACCGTGCTCACAGAGGGGGGCAGGCAGCAGGCTGTTTGGGGCAAGGGAGGAACTTTTTTAGCCTTGCCCCCCCCGAATTCCCTCAGCCAGCTCAGGACCACAGACCCAGCCAGCTTGGTATCCCACTGGAAACCCACTGTCCCCAGGGCATTGGTGCTCTGCACAGGGCCACGTGATGCCTGGGTCCCATACGTATTCTCGTTGTTCTTTCAGTTCTGGGAGGGGAACGAGGACAGGGACAGAGCTGGGAAGGACCCTCCAGAAGCCCCCCACAGAGCGGCAGAGTGGGCCAGGCCGTGAGCGCTGGAAGCTGTCAGCCAGAATGGGTGCCCCATGCAAAGTCCTGGCTCCGCTTCCCGGAGCTGTGACCTTGGGCAGGCTGTTTACATCTCAGCTTCTGAGTCTCCCTTTGCCTCCTCATGGGGAGCCACTGCCTGTCCCTGGGGGGTAGGTGATGAGGAGTAGCTGAAACTATGTCTGCAACAGACAGGGCCTGGCGTATAGCAATAATGGCAGCCACAGTCATCACCAGCCTGTTCATGTGTAGAATCCCACCAGCGAGGCTCCCACTTGTCCTGGTCTGGTTCTTGGTGAAGACCTGATACATCCCGCCTCTATCATCTGGAGTGGCGAGTTTGTTCCCTCCATCTCCATCCTGCTTACCGGGGGAGAGGGCCGTGAGGGCTCTGGGCCCCTGGGGTGGGGGCAGGGGGTCATGAAGGCAGAAAGGCACTGAGTGTATTGAGCTAGTGATCTGAGATCTGACACTGTCATTCGTGGATTTGTTCATGGAGTTCTGCATTGAACACTGCGGGGACCGAGACAGGAGGGAGTAAGATGTGCCTATGGGAGGTCTGTGTCCGAGCAGGCAGAGGAGACGTGGCACGAACAATGTGACCCTCATCAGACGGTGCAGTGGAGCCCTGGAGGACAGAGAGAGCTTCTCAGGTGTGTGTGTGTGTGAATGCACACGTGTGTGTGTTCAGGCATATGTGTGGGTGCATATGAAGGACAGAAAGGCAAGAATTGAGAGGTGCTGAGTGACAGAGTGTCACATCACGTGACAGGCAGGCTGGTGTTGTGGCGGGGGTTCCCCAGAAGATCAGCGTTTCAGTGAATGCCAGTTAGAAAACAACCTGACTGTATTGAACCAGCCCCTCCCGGCGCTTCCAGACAGAGAGTTTGGGGTAAAGACAGCTCACCCACAAGGAGCAGGAGCTGCAGGAAACAGAGGCATCTATCCGAGGAGGGAGTCAAGAATCTGGATTCCAGTCCTGGCCTCTCGTGGCCCTTGACAAGCCCCTTCTCCTTGCTGGGTCTCTGTTTTCTCAAGCCAGTCTCTTCGTGTGTATGCATTTCCAGACAGGAAGGGAAGTGGCTGGGGCTCCCCCAGCTCTCATGGTCAGTGACTGGCAGCAGGATGGGGGTCCCCGGGGGAGAGGCCGATGGTGCCCCTACTTTCCAGATCCCCTCTACTGGGTGGGGCACCCATTCTCCAGCTGCTATATTTGTTGTTTGCTAAAGGCTCACATCTGCTCCCTGCTGGGAGTTTAAGCTACACCGCCCCAACCCTACAGCCAACAACTGACCGGCTAGGGGTATAAAAGGCCGGCCCCCTGACTTCAAGGTGGGACCAGGTCTGTACTCCTGAGCAACTCCCCAACTCCACATGGAAACACAACATCACTCCCCTCTGTGCCCGCTGTGGGGGGACCACTCACCCGAGAACCTGGGACCGCAGCTCCGAGCTTCCAGATGTGCTTTGCCCTCTGGCGCCGCCTGAGTTCCCCAGAGATAGCGCTGGGAAATCAGCACATCTTTACAGCATTAGACTTTGGATCTTCTCCCTCCTGGACTCACCCCCTGCTTTGTGCCCCAGCTGCACAGAAGCTGTCAATATCTTTCTTACCCCGCCCACCACCCACCCTCGCAGGTGAAAATCTTAGTGGCCTTCTGTTTTTTGGAATCTCGCCCTGTTGCCCAGGCTGGAGTCCAGTGGCCTGATCTCGGCTTACTGCAACCTCTGCCTCCCAGGTTCAAGTGATTCTCCCGCCTTAGCCTCCCTAGTAGCTGGGACTACAGGTGTGTGCCGCCATGGCTGGCTAATTTTTGTATTTCTTTTCTTTTCTTTTTTTTTTTTAGTAGAGACAGGGTTTCACCATATTGACCAGTCTGGTCTTTAACTCCTGACCTAGTGATCCGCCCTCTTCAGCCTCCCAAAGTTCTTAGCGTCTTATTTATGTCTCTCCTTGACAGTTGCAAATCTCCTTTGGCAAGGGAAATGTTGATCATTTAGCCTGTTTTCAGAGCAGGACTGATGGAGTGAAGGTGGTTGTGATCGCCTTAGATTCTGGGAGTAGAGTAAGAAGTAGAACCTTTTGAAAGAATCCATTTAATTTAGGAAAATTTCAAGCACTCACAAAAGCAGAGAGAATGGCTCCATGACCCCCCGTACCCATCCCCAAGCTAGAACCACCATCAGCAGCTCCCAGCCAATCTTACTTTCCCCCAAAAGTGGCAAAACTCAGACATCTTCCCATTTTATTTATAAGCAGTTTCGTATTTGTCTCTAAAAGATATGGACTCTTTAAAAAAAGCGTGACCACATGATCACAACAAAAAAATTAAAACTGAGTCCTGGTGCTCGCTGAGGTATATTTACGCTCAGGGTATAACCCTGCTGCTCCACCGAGCTCTGCTGTACGTTTGGAAACTCCTCTTTTAAAGGGCCGGGCAGTGGCTCATGCCTGCAATCCCAGCTCTTCAGGAGACCAAAGCGAGAGGCTCACTTGAGCCCAGATTGCAAGACCAGCCTGGGCAACATAGCAAGTTGTCATCTCTACAAAAATTAAAAAATGAGCCAGCTGTCTTGGTGCACGTCTGTCCCAGCTACTCAGGAGGCTGAGGTGGGAGCATCACGTGAGTCCAGTGAGCTGTGATCACACCACTGCACCTCCATCTGGGCAACACAGTGCGATCCTGTCTCAAAAAAAAAAGAAAAAGAAAAAAAGAAACTACTTTTGTAGAGCAGTTGTCCCCAACATTTTTGGCACCAGGGACCAGTTTCGTGGAAGACAATTTTTCCACGGGCCGGGGTGGGGGTTTTGGGATGAAACTAGTCCGCCTCGGATCATCAGGCATTGGATTCTCATAAGGATGCACCACCTAGATCCCTTGCATGTGCAGTTCACACTAGGGTTCGCTCTGCTCTGAGCATGTATGGCGGTGGCTGATCTGCCGGGAGGCGGAGCTCAGGCGGTAGGTAATGCTGGCACGCTGCCCTCACCTTCTGCTGTGAGGCCCGGTTCCTACCAGGCCATAGACCGCAATAGGTCCAGGGCCCGGGGCTTGGGGACTCCTGCTGTGGGGGAACAAGTCTAACTCTAAGAGTCAGAAAAACCTGTTCTTACTTAGTTTTTGGTACTTACTGGGTATCAAATAACTAGTCAGAGCTCCAATTTCTGAGTATCTCACAAATGTCTTGTTACTTTTGATTTGTTCAAATCAGGATCCGGGATCCAGGCATGGCCCACAAATTGCACTGAGCGGAAGCAGTTTCAGCATCCTGTCCTTGATCTTCCCATGAGCACGGTGCTGCTCTCTGGGAAGTGTGCAGGTCTTCCACAAGGCTCTTCTGGTGGAGGAGGTATGGAGTGGGCTCCAGTGACCCCTAGATTCAGTGAACCCCAGATCCAGCCACCCCAATGACCCTCAGATCCAGCAACCCCAATGACCCTCAGATCCAGTGACTCCAGTGACCCCCAGATTCAGTGACCCCTAGATCCAGCGACCCCAATGCCCCCTGATCCTGCAATCTCCAGATCCAGTGACCCCAGCCATCCCCAGATTCAGTGACCCCCAGATCCAGCGACCTCAATGCCCCCTGATCCTGCAATCTCCAGATCCAGTGACCCCAGCCATCCCCAGATTCAGTGACCCCCAGATCCAGTGACCCCCAGTGACCCCCAGATCCAGTGACCTAAGATCCAGTGACCCCAGCAACTCCCAGATTCAGTGACCCCCAGATCGAGTAACTCTCAGATCCAGGGACCCCAGTGACCCCTAGATCCAGTGACCCCCAGATCAAGTGACCCCAGTGACTCCCCAGATCCAGGGACCCCTGAGACCCCCAGATCCAGGACCCCAGTGACCCCTAGATCCAGCAACCCCCTGATCTAGTGATCCCCAGATCCAGTGACCCCAGAGACTCCCAGATCCAGTGACCCCAGATTCTACCACCCCCAAATCCAGCAACCCCCAGATCCAGTGACCCCCAGATCCAGTGACCCTCAGATCCTGCCTTGGGCTCTTCCTTTTCCATCTGGCTTCTCTCTCCACATTGCTATGCTGAGTGTGGACAGGGAAGCTCGAGGCAGAGCCCAGAGGCTGTACAGATCGTCCCTGATGGGGGACTTACTGACTTTGACCTGCTGAGCTCTGCGTAACGCTTCCGAGCTGACTCTGCCTCTGGGATGCCTGAGTTCAAATCTTGATTCTGCCGCCTACTAGTTATGTGAACTTGGGCAAGTTATTTGACCTCGGGCAAGTTATTTGACCTCAACGGGCCTCAGTTTTCCCCTCTGTAAAGTGGGGATAACAGCACCCATAAAGTTGCTGGAGGGTTAAATGAGTTAGAATACGTAAAACACTTAAAAGTGGTACCTCCCATGTGTCAGTGGCTGTGCCTAATTATTTTGGTTGCTGTGTGCTTTCAGAGTCGCTGGTGCTCAGCTGTCATGCATGTTCAGTGTGGTGTACACTCTAAGGTCACACCCACAATCAGGCGAAAGGCCACTCACCCCTCTCAGG